AGATTTTCTTCGAATGATGTTCAATGGGATGTTGCATCAAAGACCTTGCCTACTGACACCACAACAAAACAATCATTGCGAGGAAGAACAAACATTTGTTGGAGGTTGCTCATAGTTAATGATTCAGGGGAGAAGTACCGATCAGCCCAGCTCAGAGTTTACTAGCCACAAAGTACAGGGGGAATGTATCCTGACCGTGAATTGATGCCAAATTCACGTTGTAGGGGGTGGCTGGAATTCAAAATTCTACATCGTGTGTATTCGTATTTTTCCCATGATTCAGAAGAATGTACCAAAGAATTTATGGGAAGATGCAATTCTTGCCACAACCTACTTGATTAATCACATGCCTACGAGAATCTCACAATTTGGGGGCCCCCTCATTAGTTATTTCTGACGTCTACCCACTTTGTAATTTTCAGTGCAAGTGTTTTGTTCGTGACCTCTCCCCTCATGAGAAGCAAGATACCAAGTCTCCACATGTTAAAAATTAAATGTTTTGGTCTGTGTTACAAAAGTCACGGATGTATTGTACTTTGAGTCTCAGCCTTACATCCTTGCCTCCCCTCAAGGGGAGACATGTTGTGGTGATCAACATCCATTGTCCATCCATATCACCCTTCCTCAATCTTAACCTCTTCATTTGCAACCTCTTCAGGTCTATTCTCATCATTAGAAGGACCATCACTTATCTGAAGATATGAGCAACCAAAGATCATGAACCTTGTATCAATGAGCTCTCAAGAGACAAGGCTTAATATGCCTATATCACTAGGGGTGTAAATGGATCGAATTCAAATCGGATCAGTCGATATCCGTATTCAAATCTGATTAGAAAATCTGGTATCCGAATTCGATTTGATTTCCAATGGATATTAAAAATTAATATCCAAATTCGAATCCGATTAAATATTCAATTCAATTCAAATTTGATTTGAATTTGATTAATTAATTATTTTAAATAATTAATAAATATATAAAATAAATATTTTATTGATATAAAGTATATAAATATATAAATTATTTATATAACTTAATTATTATATATAAATTATATAAAATATTTTATATATTATATATAAGAATTAAATAATCAATCGAATTCGGATATTTATCGAATCAAATCAAGTCATCCGAATTCGACCAATTAGGTATTCGAATTATCCAAATTCGATTCAATTATGGCGAATATCGGATTTTTGAATACCGTTTGCATCCCTATATACCAATGCTATTTCTAGTGTTTCTCTTCATAAAAATGGTATGGAGGCCCTAAAATTAACTGAGTTGACCAAATGCCATGTTAGAGAAAATTCGTGCCTTTCAACAAGTAGAAATTGGTGGATAGCTTCCTTGAGAAAAGGAGCTTGTGGGGTGCAAGTGGGTCTTCTTTGTGAAACATCAAGCTCATGGATCTATTAAGAGGTATAAAGGCAAGAAGTTAGGCAAGGATTTCACCCAAATGTATGGTGCAGATTATATAGAGACATGTTCTCCAACAGAAAAAATGAACTCCATACATGTTCACTTATCTTAAACTACTAACTTGGGAAGGCATCTTCATTGACTTGACATAAAGAATGCTTTTTTAAATGGACTTAGAAGAGGAAGTGTATATGATATTATCGTTAAGGTTTCCTGCTAAAGGTAGTGAAGGGAAAGTTCGCCACCTAAAGTCTTTGTATAGATTGAAAGTTTGAAACAATTTCCATGAGCATGATATAGGAGGTTTAACAAGGTTGTCCAACACACGGGGCTTAAATAATGTCAAGCAAATCACACCATGTTTGTGTTGGGTATGCGTTTTATTTTTCAACCATTGGATAAGTTTGTAATATAACAAATCACACCATGTCTGTGTGTATCCAATATCACACTCATATAATAGTTAGAAGTCTCACTTCAATAGTTTAGATCATACCACTCCATCTATGAAAATTATCTGTCTGCTAACCTCTAAAGTAATTTGTGCAAGCTCACCCTTAGGATATTTTATGACATGTAAAAGGATGTAGTGGGCTTTTACATAAAAATCTTGACAGCCCACAAACTGTTTGGATGGAGGCATGTCTTTCTGCATGAAGGCAAGACGGAGAAAAACGAAAATTTTCATTTCTAACTTCCCAAAATAAATTTGAACGAGCTTATCGCATCTTTTCAGGGCAGTGTCTTTTGATGGCTAAATCTTCTCTCAACCAAACCAAAAATGACGAAAATGCTGACTGTGGGCTGCCGGGTTAGATCTTCCCCCAAAATGCGAGCTTTTTTTTGATAGGATGGTGAAAGTTATTCTCATCGCTGCTTTCATAGCACTGGTAGTTCATTTGGTAGTGAAAAGATTCTAACAAAGTTGTTGGCGAAGGGTTTTGATGGTAGAAGTACTTTCGAATTTGAATGTTTGTAACTGAACTCGAAAAACAAGCTAGGCATTTTTTTTGTTGGTATTTTACTTGGGTCATTTGGCTTGAAGATGGTAACTCATTTCAAATAAGAAATTTCATTTATGCAGTGTTAGATTTTTGGCATGGCTTCCAGCTGTCTTCTCTACGGGTATGAGTGAACTAATTAATGTGTCTAGGAATCTGTAAAATGATGGTAATTTTGTTACTGAGGATTCTAGATGTTTCATTGTGATGGTGCTTTTGTTTTTTTATTTATCAATAATAAGAAACTTTATTAAAACTTGCGAAACTTTAATTACAAGAGGGACGCCACCCGCAAAAACAACGAAGGGTAACTTTGACTTCTTTGGATTTCAACCTTCTTTGGACGTGAAAGAAGCTTCTCGGCAATGTACACAAAGAAAGGTTGAAACCCACCATTTTATTTTTGATTGGTTAGAAACTCAAGAGGGGAGCTTAAACACCCGAAATTGCTTGAACTCGAGAGGGGAGCTTAAACACCCGAAATTGCTTGAACTCGAGAGGGGAGCTTCAGTCTTCTTGCTGTAGTCAACTCTGCTCGACCGGTGAAGGAAACGCAAGATAGGGGAGATCGGCGGATGGTTGGGGAACCACGACGCCAATGAAGATCGACGAAAACTTCAGCATAACATGAGATATAAAAGAAATGGTGATAAATCATCGGATTTGATGGCAGGTCCGGTTAATATAAGACCTTGAAATGTAATCTTGGTGGGGTAAATGGTGGTGTTTTGGTCAGGTGGCATTTGGGGTGGTCGAAAGATTTGATTAGTCAAACTTTATGGCCAGTGTTTTGGCCAGTGTTTTGATGTTTACGGAACCTCAACGCCAAAATCACTCTCGCAGCTACTATAAATCCCCTCCCTCTTTTCTTGCTACTATACCATTTCTCTGGTCACGAACGGTGGCAAGATTCCTCCGTTTCTGATCGGATTTCCGGTGATTTATCACCATTTCTTTTATATCTCATGTTATGCTGAAGTTTTCGTCGATCTTCATTGGCGTCGTGGTTCCCCAACCATCCGCCGATCTCCCCTATCTTGCGTTTCCTTCACCGATCGAGCAGAGTTGACTACAGCAAGAAGACTGAAGCTCCCCTCTCGAGTTCAAGCAAGACTGTGCTGGAATCGTCCCATCTCCTCATCAATCTTTCTAATACAACCTTCAGTCGGTATCGTCGTCTGAAAGCCAAATCTGTCCGACATAAAGGAATTGGTCCTCCATTGCATCGTTTCAACCGGGCTAAATCCGATTTGGGTAAATTCTATTTTCTCCCATTTTCTTATTTATCATGTTTTTGTGAATAAAGCCAAATCAGTCAGTATCATTTCTTGTACTTCATTTATTTTGACGGATATCTGTCGCTTTGTTAAACAGGTTTTTTGTTTTTGTGAATAAAGAATGTATTTTTCTCCTTGGTTTCAGTTCCCTTGTGCCAGGCGAATACTCTCTCTCTCTCTCTGTTTCGTTTTCGATTTTTAGAGCCGTCGAAGAAATTTCGGGACTCAAGTTCCTCTTGTTTCTTTCTGATCGTCTTGTCTTTTGTTTATGTATTTTATTTTTCCATCATGGTGGTGGAGTTTCTAACTTGTTGATTTCTGCGAAATCTTGGAGATCTTGAGGTGAGAAGGTTGTTTTCAAATGCCCCAGTGATTTGTCGTTCTTTTCATTTCTTATCCACTTCTGCCGGAAACTGGATCTCCTCTTTTCCAAATTAAGGCAGATCTTGACAGGATATTCTCCTGCTGTCCCTTACCATATTCTTTACCTTGTTTATTTAATACCTCCGGATTCCTCTCGGTTCTCTGTATAACGAATTAAACTTTTATGCAGCGTTCTTTTAACGAAGAACTTTATTGACTGCATCACCAGATTCCCCATCTCAAGCTCCAGAAAGCTCCCAAGCTTTTGTTGATTTCTGTTTTACCTTTTCGATTTCTCTTCACCTTCCACTATGTTCTCGCTGAAAAGAAAAGATTCAAACTCTGAAAGAACTATCTATGAAGAAAAAGGATGAACTTGACCTATTCTCTCTCTCTCTGTATATACTATTATATTGGAAAACTTATTCTATTTGCTTCCCTCCTACCTTATATTGGGGGTGGGGCAATCAGCCTAAAAACATAATACAGTTGTTTTCGGCAGCAAAGCCAGGGTTAGGAGTTGATTTCTTTAAATTATAAGAAAATTTAATGGAGGGAAATCTTAGCTACGTTTCCCAGACACTAATTGTAGATGATCAAAATGGGCTAAGGGCAACACTATCAATTCACTCTGAAACCGAGGTATGGTCGAATAGTCTGAGGCCTGAAGTGGCCAAGGACTGGTAGGCTGGCCCTAGTGTGGCCAAGGGCAACACTATCAATTCTCTCTCTCTGTTTCGTTTTCGATTTTTAGAACCGTCGAAGAAATTTCGGGACTCAAGTTCCGACCCGGTTGCGAGTTGCTATCTAGCGATACGTGTCATTAGGGCCTATCTAGCGACACGTGTCATTAGGGCCTATCTAGTTTACTATAGCCTTGGGCAGTGCCTAATGCCAGTACCAATTACAATGTACGGGTTGGAGACGGATAAAAGGCACGTGTCAACAGTTTACAATCTCTGAACACTTTAGACGGAGTGTGGAAATATCGAAAGAAGCGTGTCGCAAAATAGCGGTGTTGCGAGTTGCGACGAACATAAGATGGGTAAATTAATAATTACATCTTCATTTATTTTGACCAAAAACCAAAATATGGGCAAGAATAGGTGAACTGCCAGTTCTGTATATACCGCAAACTGCTGCAGATTCGTTGCAGCTCTGTTTGCTGATCTGTAAACATCGGTTACTGAGATTTATAATGGAAAAGTGAAACAATAAAAACTGATAATTGCATTAATAATTTAAGTAATTTGTTATAAAAATAATTTAATAATTTAGATTAATTATATTAATAATTTTTAACAAATATAATGAATCATTGTTAATTATTCAATAAATAATTATTTTTTCATATTATCCATTAGTGTTATATTTCATTTATTCGACTTTTTTAACCATTAAATGTTATAATTAAATTAATCTGTAGATTAACTTTTTAGTCATAATAAAATTAATCTAACTCTAAGCTCAAAATTCAAGACTAAAACAAATCCCCGTCCCCATCTCTGTCTCCATTCCCATTTGGGTATCATTGTCAAACCCCATCACTGCCAAAGGCAATATCCATCTTCAGCCCTATCGGGTCACAGAGGTTGAGTACCCAACGAAATGGGGAACATTGCTATCCCTATTTACATTCGAAAACTATTAATTGGTTAGTTGTCATAAAACTATAATTCAAAATCTAATAAATAAAATAAATTTTTAGCAAATTTTTACCAGCAACTATTAAAGAAATTAATAAAAATTAGTAATTCATAAAATAATAATAAAATAAGCCACTTGCATTCCATATAAAAACTATACAATTTAATTAAAATAATGAAACTAATAATGGCATAATTATAAATGTCTTAAGACTCCTACATAGGAATGACATTTATAAAAATAATTTAATAATTTAGATTAATTATATTAATAATTAGAACCAAATGCATTCACATCCACATTTGGTTATTAAATCTAGATCCACATTCACCTCTGATTATTATGTTGGGTTTGGGATCATCTTTGCATTTAATCTATAACCATCTTATTGTATTTAAAACAATAACAAAACTAAAAGGTTTAAAAAAAAATTATTTTTAAAGTATATATGTATAATAAAATGTATAAAAAAAGTAAAAGTAGTAAAATTACCAATTATAAACTTTATATAGTTATACATAATATATATATATATATGTCTATGTATACATAATTATTGGATTCCAATTACTATTATTTGGTTCATTTGGAATTGGAATTGGAATCAACTAACAGTTTTATTAATAATTTATTATTTTATTAGTCTTTAATAATTAATATCTTAGTATTTATAATGAATATTTTATTTTTAGTTATGAATATTAATATTTTTATTTTATTACTTAGTTAGAAGTAATATTATTATAACTAAAATTATTTTTCCTACCCTAAAATTATTATTATTATACTTAATAATTAATATCTTCGTTTGCTATTATTATTTTAGTAATATTTTATCATAGTACTATTGTTTTATTATTATTATTACTTTACTAATATTCAGGTTTTGTATCATGAGTTTTTAGTCCTTAAGGGGACCTAAAATACCAAAACATCCTTACATCAACCTTTCTCTCTCTCTTTCTCTTTAATAATACAAATGTTATATCACTCTCTATCTCTCATTAATACTCTTTCTTAATTGTCTCTCTTTTGTGATGTAATTTCTCCTTCTCTCTCCCTCTCTCTAATAATATAATATCTTGGTAATAGATAAATACCTATGTTGATTTTATAAATATGAATGCAATTATTATTTTATACTTTAATAAATGGTTATTTTATTATTTTTATAATTTTTTACTTATTATTATTAATTTTAATTATCTTATTAATATTAATTATACCAATTTTTATAAATAATCATCCCTAAGTACAAAATAATACTAATTTTTATTAATTTATTAACTTTTAATAGTTGCTAGATAAAAGCTTGCTAAATTTAATATTTTTATTAAATTTAGTAATTTTTTATTAATTATAATTATTAGGTTTCAAATTATTATTATTATTATTATTATTATTAAATTTAATACTTTTAATTATAGAGTGCTTGAACAACATGGATCTAATTCATAATATGAGCCATTATTTGAAAGACAAAATAACAATACAATGGTTGCCACAAAATCAAGTCCATGGTATTCAACATGCTATTCAAACTTCGAAAACATGTTTTCCAACCTATATGCTTAACATTTCTCAATGAACAAAACAGAGGAAATGAAGATCAGCTTCTTCCATCTTATGACCATCATCATATTAAAGGTATTCCACATACAAATTGAAAGAAATATGGAAGCAATTCTAAACTGATAAAAATAATAAGATGATAATGATGTTGTTCCACAATCTTCCACTTCAAGGCATGAATATGTCAATTTTCATCTCTTTTTTTTAGTGAAAATTGTCAATTTATAGATTTAATACAAGTCAAAATTAACACTTAACTTATGGTAAGACTAGATTGATAATTCCTAAGGCTTAGTTTGGAAGGAGTACAAATTATGTAACTACACTAATTTTTTGAACCATAGCCCAAGCATGATCTTTTCACCATTTGACATGATACTACACAAATAGAAAAACACCCTTGTGCTGCAAAGATAACTTTCAGATAGGTGGAGTTATGACTATAAAACAAAACCAATGTGCCAAGGTTAGCTAGAAATATTATAAGTACTCAACTTACCCAAAGACAAGTTTCTAATGTATATTGTGGATGAAGAATTGCTTGACGAATTACATGGGTCCAAGATTGTTTCTAAGCTAGACTTGAGGTCTTGTTACCACCAGATCCGAATGAGACTCGAAAATGTACCAAAGATTTCCTTTTATCCTCACAAAGGGAACTATAAGTTCCTTGTCATGCCCTTCGGGTTTACCAATGCTCCATTAATTTTTCAGTCCCTGATGAATCAGATTTTTTGGGATCATCTGTGGAGGTATGTTCTTGTCTTTTTTATGACATTTTAATTTATAGTAAATTTGAATTTGAACACCTGGAACATCTTAAACTGGTTTTAGGAATCTTGAGACAAAATTAGTTGTACGCAAAGATAAGTAAATGTCAATTTGTAGTTCATAGAATAGGCTACTTAGGCCATGTAATTTTTTCCAATGGAGTAGAGGTAGACCCATCAAAAGATTCACAGTATAATGCAATGGCCCAGATCAACTTCTATTAAAGGATTAAAAGGATTCCTAGGTTTAATGGGGTATTATAGAAAGTTTATTAAAGACTATGGCCTATTAGTTCGGCCTTTGACCGAACTCTTGAGGAAAGGAGGGTGGAAATGGGGCGAGGAAAAGGAAGAGGCATTCCAAATGTTGAAAGTGGCAATGACTACCACACCAGTATTAGCTCTACCAAACTACTAGAAACAAATCTTAGTAGAAATGGATGCAAGTGGAAGTGGAATCAGTGTTGTGTTAACACAATAGGAGAAACCATTGGCTTTTTATGGTAAGACACTTCATGAATGACACCTCTCTGTATCCACTTATGACCGAGAACCTTACCTATTTGGTCAAAGGTTTTGAATTGTTCTAAATCATCGAAAACTCGGTCATATATTGAATTGGTAATTATGACTATGAGGTCTACTACGCGCAAGGGCAAAGACAACATGGTGGCAGACACAGTATCAAGGAGAGAAGAAAGGGCAGGGGGAGGGGTGCGGGGTGCCAGTAGCTAGATAGAAGAGCTTAAGACTGAATTCTATAATGATTCTGTGTTCTTTTAGAAATGGACCGCGGTTGGAAGGGGATTGAGTCATCATCATCAGTCCTTTAAAATTTGGGAGACGTCTATTTAAGGAGGCCCATTCAGCCTAAGGGAGAGAGCATTTTGGGCTTCACAACACAATACAAATTAAAGGTTAAGAAGGATCTGTTATTGGAAATGGTATAGAAGGGAGATTAAAGACTAGATCCGAGAATGTGATATTTGTCAGTATCACAAGTCCAAAAATGTCCCTTGCACTAGCTTACTATAGCCTCTCCCCATTCTCGAGCAAGCGTGAACAGACTTTTCAATGGACTCCATTGAAGGACTCCCCCTCTCGACGGAAAGTCAGTTATCTGGGTGGTAGTAGATCGACTGAGAAAATTTGACCATTTCATTTCTCTCATACACCCTTATATTGCTCCAGGAGTGGCTCAAATCTTCATTCAGGAGCTCTTCTTTTTGCATGGAATGCCAAGGTCCATAGTTAGTGACTGTGATCCTGTGTTTACGAGCACATTTTGGAGAGAGGTTTCCAAATTGAAAGTAGTAAAGCTCAACATGAGCCCCTCTTACCATCCTATTGGATGGATAGGTGAAGGTTTAAAACAGAACACTGGAAAACCTATCAAAGGTGTTTTACTAGTGATCAACCTCAAGCATGGAGCAAGTGGCTACCTTTGGCAGAATGGTGGTATAACACCAATTTCCATTCTGCAACCAAGACCACTCCATTTTAGGCAGTGTATGATTACCCACCTCCTACCTTAATATCCTACATACCAAGCACTACAAAGGTTGCAACAGTTGAAAATGATCTCAAGGAAAGAGAAGTAGCTCTTTAGAAGTTAAAACAGAACTTAGTTTTTGCCTAAGAGAGGATGAAGAAATTTGTAGATAAGGGTCACTCAGAGAGAGAGAATTCCATATTGGAGATGGTGTGTCTAAGGTTAAGGTTACAACCTTACAAACATCCATCACAACCCATCAATGTTAGAAGCTAGCTGCTTAGTTTTATGGGCCTTACTAGGTGATTGAGAAAAATGACTTGTAACTTATAGCCTCCTATTGCCAGAAGGGTGCAAACTTCACCCAGTTTTTAATGTTTCTTGGCTAGCTAAAGCTGAAAGATGGTAGCCAAGCCACTATGTTACCCACTTTACCTACCCACTTTACCTCCACTTAAAGCTGACAAAAATCTCCAACCAATTTCAAGAAAAATTCTGAATAGAAGAATGGTCAAGGGGAAAAGAGAAGACATAGAAAGTTCTGGTGCAATGGGAAGGAGCACCACAGCAAGATGCAAATTGGGAGAGATGGGAAGACTTGCAAAATAGATCTCTAGATCATTGCCTTGAGGACAGGGCAAATGTTAAGGGGGGAAGAGATGCTAATTAGTCTGTTGCCACAGGAGAAT